TACCTGACGATCTCGATTTCGTGGACGAGGAAAATGACAATTTCCTTTTACATCACGAGTACAGTCTAGTTGCTGAGAAAAATCAGTGGCAAGTTTTGACACGGCTTGGGTTAGACTGTTTATTTGTCCTTGTAATTCACCAACCACATCAGTTTTAAAATTGTTTAAATCTTTCACCGCAACGTGTGTGTTATCGTCAGTTTTAGTAGCAGCAGCTATAAGCGGTGCATCATCCTTTCGGTAGCCGTAAGCTTCGCACATTTTGGCAGTTGCTAGGCAACTTGCGCTATCACTATGGTGACCTGCCCGAACAAAAAAGGCGAGTTGATCAGGCAACCCCTTTATAAATTTAATCAGTATTTCGTGATCATTTCTGCGGAAAATTGTTGTTTTTTCGAGTAGTTGAGCATAAAATCGTCAATTGATTGCCCTTTTCAAGTTTCAATATTTCGAATATTTCACCTTCAAGAAGTATAGCTAGACTTCGAAAATCAACATCGAGATATTGCTTCTTGTAAACCTGTTCAAAAATTTGCCATACTTGTTTACTGTCGGCTGGAAGAGTATTAAACCAAGTCAGAACTGGGCTACAAAGGTGCAAATGAAAAGCGGCAATTTTCCAGCATTCTCTTCCGGTAATATATGATGCAACACGGCATAAGACTCGAACTCACTCAAAAACTGAAATAAATTTTCATGTGGGTATCCCCAACCGACAATTGGCTAACTTTTCCATTTTGTGAACAGAATTATGTTTTAAATCAGATATGAGAGATTGAATTTCGTATTCAAGTCTTGATACATTGATTGATTGATTGATGTTGAACGCCACTTTCAACAATATTGTGCTATTTCGTGGCGGTCAGTTTTTAATGGTGGAGGAAGCTGGTGTGCCCGGAGAGAACCACCGACCTTTGGTAGGAAAACTAGTCCAATTAAGATTGGAGTCGATTGGGATTCGAACTCACAACCTGTGTTGACAGGCTAGTGATACAGTAGTTCGACTACTTAGACCACTCGGCCACCGAGGCCCTTTCAAGTCTTGAAAAAACTATGGTATTTGGCGTAGTAGAATTGGTAAAATTTGATGTTTGAAATTTATTAAATGGTGTCCAGGCAGGGGTAGCTGGTGTCTGTATATTTGGCAAAATAAATGTATCATTAAAATTTTCTGGAGAAGGTTGCAATAAATATCCGATATCTGGTTCTAAGTGGTCTGTTATTTGATTAAACAGTAGAAAGTCGTCTGATAATACAGAATCGTTGTCTGATGAGGACATTTACTCAATAAAAATACAATGTTATATATATATATATATATATCCAACACCGAAAAATCAGTAATGAGAACAATCTTAAATACTGTAAGTACACGAGTAGGAATGAGATAAATCTTACATTCTTCTACATACATGAAAATAAATACAGGCAATGCATATTAAAATAAATCTTTATTTTTGCAATCTTCAATTATCCTAAGTAAAATTCGAATCAATCACAAACGTGCCATATATGGATGTGGGTGAATTCCGTCTATATATAGACCAAGGTTATTTCAATATGCATACGGACGGCCATGATGTTTTCTGACTTTAAGCAAGTCCAAACCAAAATCTGGTGAATGAGCACGAAGCAAAATATTTTTTTCCCTAATAAATCTATTGACCTCGGCATTCTGGCATTTTAATAATCTATCCTGCACACGAAATTGCTCCGGTTCAGGGTGTTGTTGAAATAAAATCCACAATTAAATTGAATGGTAGGATAGCTCCAGAAAAACTGGTTTGATTGTCGGGTAATCTGAGAGGAACTTGTAAATTTGTTTGTATGTATCACATATGTGTTTTACAAGATCATTATTGTCCGATCGTAACTGAATAAATTTTCCAGATTGTTCTGTCAGGTCACAAGTACCTAGAAAAATGTATTTTGTAAGATGTCGTGAGGAAAGTTCATGAATTTTAGTTACTAAATTTTCTTTAAGCCAAGTAAACTGAGTTTCAGTGTCCGCACCACTTTTTCACCACCAAAATATTTTATTTTCAGGATGTGATGACCAGTCAAGAATGTAAGATAAATATTTGGCCTTGCTATCAGACAATACAACAGGTATTGTGCGCAAAAGAGGCGCTTGGTGAAGTCTCTGGTCTAAACTACGCACTTGTTTACCCACACGGACAAGACTCATTTATGTATAAATGGCGATTAGTGTAAAAATAAATGTCTATGTTTGTGTGGAAAATTGTGTTATAAAATGAATATTTGTTCGTATAAGTCACTAGTCAAAATGCTGTCATAATTTATCAAATTTGTCCTGACCACATTGACGAATAACAACCACGTGTCCAGAACTTGTGTACGGTGTCTACATGCATGGGAGTCACATTTTCAGAAATAAAATTAATTGTGTCTTGAAACCTGCACAGGTATTTCTCAAAACTTTTGTAAATGTCTTCTTCAAAGCTTTTTAGGGTCTCTCTACCATGTGACGATATGGGCCTCGTCTTTTAACTTTAGTTTTTGGTTTGGAAACTGGCTCATACATACACGTCTCACATGAAAGACATTCACTAACAGAGAGAGAGCAAACAAAAGGCATTTCCGGACATCACTTGTACAATTCCGTATAAACATATGAAACTGAATTACACATTTATAATATATATATATATATATATCTACAAGTCTAAATTGAAAACAACGTTAAAACCTATGATTGCGTTGGATAAAAACCGAAATTTTTATACGTGTGCATGCAAAACAAATTTATTGTTAGAGGGGTCTAAATACAGCACACACAACATTTTCCAAAAGACCAAAAAAGTGAAAAAGTATATTTTAACAAAACGCATTTGACTAACAGGTCGAACAACAAATGTTCTTAAACCCTGCTGACTGCCATTGGCGATTGCCAAATAAACGGATCACCGATGTAATAAATGGATCTTAATTATAAATTTAATACTAAACAGAAAACAATTAACTTGCGGAAAAGATGGTATACCGCAAACAAAAGGTGCAAAGGTTTTTGTACACCATATCCGGATTTCGACAATTAATGTCTCTTCAGTGATGTTAGGAATCGAAACGGTATTTGGAAAGCCATACAATTTACCTCAATTTAGGATAGACTCTTGAATTTTGAGGAGTCAAAATAGGATGAACGGATAAACCGAAGGCAAATATAATACAAGCCCAAACGAAAGAAATATAAACAAGTCTAAATTGAAAACAATGTTCAAGTTATGCGTTGGATCTAAATATATAACATAAAGACCTACTTCCATTGGTCCATACAAAAACAAATGCCAACAAAAACAACTTGTTAGCTTTTAATGTGTTTTCTGCATTTATTTCAATCGTTCATCATCAATCTTCATCTGAAACGTTTCAGATTTTTCCTCAACGCCATGTTGTTTTTATAAGGGTACTTAACACGACTACTAACCGTATTTGCGTAAATGACAATATCATTTGATAGGGAAACCCATCGTATTATTCCGCTGCTGATATCATGTTGCTAAAGACGTTATCATAAGTCTCATAGTAAACGTATCAACCCTGATTAATAAAGTCGATATCTTACTAGTTTTACACTTGATGATCTCTTACATTTATATTCGAGAATAATGGTAGGAATTAATGAATATGCAAACTGGGTGAAATACAAAATAGTAAATAACATTACATTTTAGAATACCGTGATATGATATCGTTTTTCAGTCATCTCTATGAGTGTACGCGTATCATTACATTTTTTTTTTGTTACCGTAGGTATTGATAAATTTGAATGCATTTTTCAAAATAAAATATATTAACTAATTGATATTATGACTTTATCTTATATATTTAACGACTTAACCGTCAAACCCGTAAATATCCTTATTTTAATAACATAGAACTACCTATTACTTCGTATTCGTACAGAGAAAAAAATCAGTGCTTAACGTGAGTTACTTCAGACCCCGGTATAGACAATAATTATCCGTTAACATGAGACTGTGAAACATCAAAATTTAGGTATAATCCTAATGACGACTGCCAGGATCTGTTTACCTTTTCAGAACACTGCAATTCCTTCGTATTGATAAATTTGAATGCATTTTTCAAAATAAAATATATCAGCAAACTAATTGATATTATGACTTTATCTTATATGTTTAACGACTTAAACGTCAAACCCGTAAATATCCTTATTTTAATAACAAAGAACTACCTATTGCTTCATATTCGTACAGACTTTAGTGCTTTACGTGAGTTACTTCAGACCCCGGTATAGACAATAATTCTCCGTTAACATGAGACTGTGAAACATCAAATGTAGATATAATCCTAATGACGAGTGCCAGGATCTGTTTACCATTTCAGAACACCAAAGATCCCCCCCCCCCCCCCCCCCCCGCCCCATTTTTGAGGGGTTCATTCAAAGTCTTAATGTAAACGGGAGAAATCGGGTGAAAAATCACTTGATTATTTTAATTAATGTATGGATATTGCAGATATTCGCATACCACATTTTGAAAAAATGAGAAAAAAAAATCATTCTTTTCTGGGACTAGAAATGATAATCAAGTACCCGGAAATTGTTTTATGTTCGTACCGACCGACAAAGCAGCCAACAAGATTCTATTGATTGAAATTATAAATTCAATATGCAAGGTCATGCGCACAACGGAGAGTAAAATAGTAGACAATCATATATTTACCACATATCCGCTAAAGGCCTTCTTAAAACGTGTATTTCATTTCGATCACACTTATATGTATCGAAATTGATATCAATAAAGAGGAAACAATGTCTATTTTAGCATTGTATATTCGGAATCAGATGATTCTTACTTACAGTTTGCTCCAAAAACCCTTACAAGAAGAATAATTTTAACTCCGACTAGTGGACATCTTAAACATCAATAGCAACTAACTACCATCATTTTATGAGTGAATACATGTATATCCGAATAGGTTTGGAAAATCTGTTGAATTCTTCATATTAATTGTAGGATGTTAGAATGGATTTTCTTATACAAGAGAAGGGTAGCAAAGAAATATCAGCTAAACTTTTGTTTTCATCTTGCATCAAGTATTTAAAAGAGCATTTCAGGAAAACAATTGATGAAAGGCAGATAGGAGTTCGGGAAGACAAGATAAAGTGGATTATAACTGTACCTGCGATATGGAATGACTCTTGTAAACAGTTTATGCGAGAGTCTGCTACTGAGGTATGGTTATATATGTATAAACAAGACCGGTTGAATATTAATAAATGTTAATTGATAGTCACCTACAAATGAAATATATATTTATTACACAGGTCATCGGTGACCTAATAGGGTACATACACAGTCATTAAATTTTAAATTTTATACATAATGTAATGGGGTCCCCCTCTGAAATTCACTGAACGTGAATATATAGTATTAGGTCACCGATGGACTGTGAAATATTTATAGCCTACCGGCTTTCTGATACTTGGAGGAAAAAAACATTAGTATCTATTACTTACTTTGAATATTTAACAGATGCCGTCTTATATTGGGCAATATGAGAACGATAACTCTTGTACTAACCCTGTTTCGACTATACACGTTTTGGACCAATTTAGTTCTCTAAAATATATAGAAGGGAGTATATATGTTTCTATTTGCACCAGCAGTACAAATTTGGTCATTATTTTTTCGAGAGATAGTCGTGACCCAATTGCTAATGTTTGGACTAAATATAACTCTTGCCTAGAGTTTAATCTTTTAACATATGTAATGTTACCAAGTGCAAACGAAAAGATACCGAAGGGATAATCAAACTCATAGGTCGAAAACGCTCTGACAATGTCATGGCAAAAAACGAAAAACGACCCAAAGACAAACATCTGTATATGTTACAGGCATTTTCTAAATTTAGGCAATTTCTAAAATGCCTGCAAGATTCATGCATTTTACATAATGACTAAATGGAGAAACCTGGATCATGACACATTTAGCTCTTTCATTACCTTTTCTAATAAAACACTTACCGTTCGATAACATTGGGTTTCGCAATAAGCACACACGTCACACATGAATATCTTCTTTTTTTGTCATGTTCCCAAAAGATTCAAAGAACATTATCATGATTAGTTTGACATGCATCTTTTGGCTTATAGCTTTTAACGGACTGAAGCAGATCTGCCCATGACGGGTGATGCATCTATAGCAGGAGACGCTTATCCTGTCAATGCACCGTTATTTGTCTCTTCTTGGTCGATTTTCGAGATTTTAACCACAGTTAACTACTGTCTTATTAATTCATTAGATTGCAAAGACCCGTGAATTTCCTTGAGGCAGTGAAGATGAAGATACTCATATATTTGCATCACAACCAAATACGGCCTTGTATGGCGAAACCCATGCTATAGAGGGGAATTTGTTTGGATGTGGATGTAAACATTCTCATTCTTTCTGAATGGGGACATTAAATATATTGCCGCATGTTAGTAAAAAGTAAAATCACAAAAATACTGAACTCCGAGGAAAATTCAAAAAGGAAAGTCCCCAATCAAATGGCAAAATCAAAAAAACAAACACACCAAACGAATGGATAACAACTGTCATATTCCTGACTTGGTACAGGCACTTTCTTATGTAGAAAATGGTGGATTGAACCTGGTTTTATAGCTAGCTTAACCTATCACTTGTATGACAGTCGCATCAAATTCCATTATATTGACAACGATGCGTGAACAAAACAAACAGACACAATAGGTAAAAATGTCAAAAATAGGGGTACAGCAGTAACCATTGTGTATTGTGTAAAGTGCAACACTCTCTGCACGTTAAGAACTCTTTGACCGTTCTTCAGGTGGAATTTTCTATCCCTATATAAAACACCTTCATTTCAAGCGGCAGTCGAAATTCCTGTCCTTTATCCAGGTTAATCCACTGCAGAAATAACCCATATGAATTATAACCAAATTTCTCGTCTTAAAAATGCATGAAATATTTGCTACTGAAAGCAAACAAACCAATCGGTCAATTAAAACAAACTTCTTTTTCTCTGCTTCATATGTTTCACTTCACTGTTTTGAATATGGATTTTCTTAAGATTCGTTTGTAAATTTTGTTCTATTAAAAGAACAAATTGCCCTTCTGCCATTTTGACAAAATAATCATAAATTTACTATCTAAAATACAGAGTGCGTACATACTTAACGTAGTTTCACTAAAAAGAACATATTATATGACATACAAACTTTTCCAGCTGGTTTTTGAAGAATACATTAATTCTACCGAACCATTAGTTATTTTCTTTACAAGATGTTGTGTTTTTGTCCACTTTTTGTCAATGATATCCTTTTTCTGCAAATTGCCTGAAACTTAACAGGCAATTTGTTGAATTTTGTTTCAAACTTTCAGTCATTTTACAAAATGACTAGGTATTTTTAGTCATTTTATATAATGCCTGTCAAGGTTAGGCATTTTATAAATCGCCTGAAAATTCAGTCATTTTGCAAAATGCCTAAATTTAGAAAATGCCTGTAACATATAGAAAACACAGCATAGAAAACAAACTAAAGACTAAGCTACATGAACCCCACCAAAAACCGATGGCGATCTCATGTGCTCCGGAGGGAAAAGCAGATCCTGTTCCCCATGTGTCACCCGTCGTATTGCTCATTTGAGTACATACCCAGTGATTAGTTTAATTCGATAGGTCAAATTCGAGGAGAAAAGGACGGGATTGTGGTTACGACAATTAGAACATATCCGTCGTCATCTGTGAAATAGATATGCCATAACTGTCAACCAATAAATGATAGCGTCCGTAAAATTTTCGAATGGATGATTTCAACTTCACCACTTGGAACTCTTAGTTTGAAAGCTTCAGAGTGAACAGCAACCTTTTATCAAGGAAATCATCATAGGAATTGCATGCTTATAAATATCGTATCAACTTGGAGATATAAACTCCATATGCAGGCGCTGCTGGAATGTTGCTACTTCGAAATGGAAAATTCACAATTGGGAAGCTGAAATCATCTCTCTTGTCGTAAAGTTTTGTTCTCAACTGACCCTCATTGTCATATTTCTAGATTTAAGTCACGGCATGAGGCAGACTTAACTGTACCTGATGTATTCCATTATTTCAATTTCGATAGAATAGATGCGTTCAACATAGTCACCACACTTTAAATTATTTAGTGAGTATTGCGAAGCGTAAATTTACAAGATAACGCTAGCTGATGTTCATTCTTCCAAAGAAACTCTTGTATGAATTCTGCCTCATATGAATAAAAGAACAAGTCGGAAAGAAAGAAGAGGAACACAGTTAGTTCCCATGGTAATGCGGATTGTCTGTTGTAAAACACGTCTTCCAAACTTAACAAATATGTTTGTTGTCAATCAAGAAACCAAGCATCTGGCAGTTTCAGAGAATTTTGCTTATTATCCGAGTCTTTTATTACAATATACGATACATCCATCACAAAAACAAGATACTTGTAACTACTTTGGTCATTATTTATTAAACAAAACAGGACCAGTTCTTTCAATTTGTCTTTCAGTTTGGTAAGGGGAATACTTGTGTACAGGGTAGAAACGTCGAAAGTAATAATACTATTGCTAGAGGAAATATATTTAGATTGTATGTACTCCGACAGATCTCGGATTCACACAGCCCATAGAGTAGGTAGTTTCACAATTACTTTGAAGCCCGGTTTTGATTATTGATAAAATTGATGTTAATAATTTAGAAAGAGATTTCGTAGAGCACTTGGACGACCCAGCAATAAAACGTTGTTTGTATTCAGGATTTCCTCCTTGGTAAGTGCCGTGGGAGTATATTCCGAGTCTCCAAGTAAATTGTCAATACCTTAATCCTTTATCAAGCAGTTTATGTAATGTGATTTGCACACAAAATCGATGTTGTTTTGGATTTTATCTGCAGGGATAACAACATATTTATCATGGAGGTAGGGCAGGTGCTTAACATCATTTGGGTCTTTAAAAATCGATGTAGCATGTGCATTCAAGTCTTAATACTTCTCTAATTATCCACACTTTCTTTACAACCTAAGAAAACTGGTTTGATACATAGAGAATATCATATGGCTTTTTCAATATCACATCCGTATCAACCCGAGACACCAATATAATCCCAAGAGCTCTGCTCGAGGGATTATAAGGGGACGAAGTCCCCTAATACAGTAGAAAAATCAATAAAAAAAAAAAAAAAAAAAAAAAAAATCTGGAAAATTTCCCGAAATTTTCATTGTACTAATGAACTCAAAATCGTTAACTTTTTTTTTGTAACTTTTTTTTAATTCCCGCATTTGCACAGAAATCTACTTCCTTCTTCCGGTCTCGTTTGTCATGAGATTTTGAGTGAAATGTATATTTATCAGTCCAGTAAAATATAGGAAGGAACACAATAACAATTTCATTTGTAATTATTCTTTGATATGAAAAAACGTTACCTGATGATAGCGTTTCTTTGTTTACATTGAATATGACGTCATAACTAAAATAACGTCACAACTAAAATCCCTAACAACAGAACCAAAATCGGAAACGTAACGGTATTTCCGTTTCTTTTTTAACAGATTTAGAACTTAAAATATGTTTAAATTAAAAAAAAATAATTTATATAGACTTCGTCCCCTTTCACAGGTAATGCCTGCCTCATATTATTGGTTGAGGGTTGATACGGTGTGTGATATTGAATAAGCCATATCATATACACTTTATTATATACATATACGGTCTTACCTCACGTAGATTTTTTTTATGTGACATGACGTCATACAGATAAGGAGGTTTGAAATGACGTCATACAGATTATAGGTTTGACATGACGTCATACAGATTAGGGGTTTGATAAAGCCTTTGCAACAGTGACTGCAATCGATGACGTGACGTCATACAGATTAAAGGTGTGATAAAGCCTTTGCAACCGTGCTGATATCGATATCATCACGGGTGGCTGATACAGCACGCTTGCCAATGATTGTATTACACATACAATTTATCTGTATTCACTACTAAGTATATAATAAATATAATTACTTGTATAAACCGAACATATTTTAGTGTCTAAATTCATTAACTATGTACATCTACAACGCGGACGTGACATAAAACACCTTTTGTTTTGAAAGGAAGCGTTGATCGTTGAATCCAAATTATGCTGAATATTGACATAACTATGCTAATCTCAAAAAACGTGCTAAAAATTAGCGGGAGAATGTTTTAATAGACAAAGAAATTAACAAGGTACAAAAAGATGTTGATCCTGTAGCTCAAGAAGGTACGAATAAATGAAGGTAAACATAGACAAAAAAAGAGGGTTGGACCGTAAAATATAAAGTCTATTCAGTTTATGATTGTTGATTGTGACAGAAAATGAAAAACGGATGGTTTTCGACTACTTTTTCCCTTTCCTATCTTTTTAACACCTTTTTTTTAATATAACAGCATTCTTTGGTTAACATTTTAATTAGGATCGAGGGCTAGATTAAATATGAATCATTTACTTAACGATTTTAAAGGTTTAAATTCAATCAAAGGATGAGCAACAGAAAAAAAAACTAACGCTAGATTGAAAATCGTGTTTCATTTTTTTTTTTACATTTAACACTAAGTTAAAATTTAACCCAATTTGAAAGATGAACAACAAAGAGAAATAAAAATATTATGAACTTTGGTAATTAGTCTTCAATATAAGGTCTAAGTAAACGTATTACATAAACTATATCACCATGATCACTCAATTTACATTGATTTATGATTATTTTAGTTGATCATTGGTACAAATCGAATCAGACAAAACCTTTTACCAATTTCTAAAGTCTCCTTGTATATGCACAATGATACCAATATTACACTGGATATGCAAAAGAAAAAAAAGAAAATAAACTTTTTCAGAATATACACCAGATCATAAAATATGCTAACAGGACATTTTTATACTAATAGTAGATTAGGTTTTAATTTTTTTCAAAATAGGCAGGTATTCCAGGAGACCAGTGTACACTTGTGTTTGAACCCGAGGCAGCCTCTGTCTGTGCTCGATTTCTTCAGGTGGAAAAGACTGAGAATGAACAACACACGATCATCCTTAAAACCTTCCAACCGGGAACTAAGATATTGGTTGTTGATGCTGGAGGTAATTTATTGTATTATATTTCAGTTGACCCAACCATACCTATTCACCATATATAAGTACTTCTAAACAAGTGACACGTCTAAACAAGTGACAACTCTACGACAGATCCATCCATTGGATCACCAGTGAAGGTGATACACGGCTGAAAACACATATTATATTCATAATTACTCTAAATATCAGCACAACAATGTTTAATCAAATTTTTGTTCTTCCCTCGCCGGGATTCGAACTCATGCGCTCTAGAACACTCGGCCACCTAGACTGAACAAAATATTCAGCTTTCGGTGGCCTTAGTGTTACCTTTCCTCGTCAGTAGAATCTAGAGTTGTAACACAGTACATGATATATTAGGCATGAAGATGGAATTGATATATATATATATATATATATATAAGAGTCTATCCTAAATTGAGGTAAATTATGTGGCCTTCCAACAACCGTTTCGATTCCTAACATCACTGAAGAGACATTAATTGTCGAAATCCGGATATGGTGTACAAAAAATCTTTGCACCTTTGTTTGCGGTATACCATCTTCGCCGCAAGTTTATTGCTTTCTTTTTGGTATTAAATTTATAGTTAAGATCCATTTATTACACCTTGTGATCCGTTTATTTGGCAATCGCCAATGGCAGTCAGCAGGATTTAAGAACATTTGTTGTTCGACCTGTTAGTCAAATGCGTTTTGTTAAAATATACTTTTTCACCTTTTTGGTCTTTTGGAAAATGTTGTTTGTGCTGTATTTAGACCCCTCTAATAAGAAATTTGTTTTGCATGCACACGTATAAAAATTTCGGTTTTTATCCAACGCAATCATAGGTTTGAACGTTGTTTTCAATTTAGACTTGTATATATATATATATATATATACATGGTTATGTAGTAAGTTTGGAGTAGGCTTTAAGGATCACTAAATAACTGGATATTTTAGAGAGATGATGTGACTTAATTTATTTAGAAAGTGTTACAACTAATATATTCTTGGTGGTTCTATATTCAATTTGATCAGCAATAACTTACGATAGTTCAGAGACAAATATAATATATATAAAGAGCAGAATTTGTTACCATCAAAAGGTAGATATAATTCCCAAAATGATTACCAAATAACTAGACACTCAAAGGAAGTATTCAAATCTATGGTTTCTAACATTTTTGAACCTTTAATAGCAACTATGATGTAATAATCATATTATGTAGACGTTTTTTTTTTAATATTATAAAAAGTTTTTATGCTTAATTAATCTAGAAATGACTGGCAAATATTTACTGTAAACTACTTGCCTGGAACATATTAAATATCTTAGGTTGAGGTTGGCTGCATTAAAATTCGGACATTGATTCAAAATACCATTTTACGGGTATTGGCTCTTTTATCTCTTATTTTGTTTTCTGGATAAGGCCAATTACTTCATTTCTTAATCATTTCCATTTTTAGGTGGAACAGTTGATATTTCTGCCCAGGAGGTATTACCTGATAATTGTTTGAACATAATCCACAAGGTCCGTGGTGGGGATTACGGTGGAAATTCAGTCAATATGGCGTATAGGTCGATGTTGGTCCGTTTATTCTCTGGCCCGTGTATATTGGCTTTCAAAAAGAATCATCCAATTGATTATATGGATATGATGAGATCATTTGAAGGAAAGAAAAAAACTTTTAAGCCTAGTGATACCAAGGTTAGTAGCAGAATTGCAGCAACATTGTTGGAAATTAGCGAGGACAATTGCCAAAGTAGCTTTGAAGATATTGCAAGCAATTCGCAATATACAGGAGGAGTCCATGTAAAAAGAGATAAACTGTTTATTGATGTTAACATTTTTCTTGCATTTTTCAAACATTCACTATCAAAACTTGTAAAAGATATAAATGAAATCCTTCAACATGAAAGATGTCAAGATGTCAGAGCTATCATGTTAGTTGGAGGCTATGCTGACTGTGAATTATTGTTTAATGCAGTAAAACAAGCTTTTCCAGATAAAAATGTGTTTGTGCCTCACGAAGGCAGTTTGTCAGTTCTCACAGGGGCTGTTATTTATGGTCATATACCTAAAATTGTATCTTCACGTGTGTGTAATTTTACTTACGGTATTGCCCTTTACATACCATTTGAGCCTGGCATGCCACAACATAAGATGTTTAGATACGACGGACAATTATGGTGTAATGACGTTTTTATGATTAGCTACAAAATAGACACTGTAGTAAATGTAGGCGATACAAAAAGGATAAATGTGGGTAAGACGTTCTTGACTCCAGAGGTTCAGCATTTACGTAAAGAACCATTAACAATCCCTGTTTACATATCTGACAAGGAAAATCCAAAATATGTGACAGATCAAGGATGCATCAAACATTGCGTTTTTAAAATACCCCCTGTAAAGGGTGAATGGCCAGAGGTACTCGAGGGACATATCGATTTTGAAATAGCTGGGACGGAAATGATTGGAACTTTTGTAGATAAAGACACCGGCGATATTATCACATCGGTGAAAATTGAATTTCTGCCAAAAACAGAAAATAACCCCTCAGATGACCATAGGCGACGTATTTATGATCCGGAGATGGGTCATTCGGATTATGATATCCAGTAAAGTATAACATTCGTTCTTCTATAACAAGAACACAAAGATGTCGCCTGCTTTACCGTAGTACAATGTTTTAGGAACATTCCTTTTATTTTATAGTTTTGAATAAAAGTTTTAGACTGCAATTATTGAACATTTTCAAATGATTTCAATAATACTTGTAGTAAAAACTATTTCATGACGTCAATAGCCAGACTTTTTACAGAAAAATAAGTCTTTAAAACAATGAAAAAATCATATAGTTTAACCCCTACAAATCTGAAAGACCCAAAGTAATGAAGAATTTGATAAACTGCAGAATATTTTATAACGTAAGTTGAATAGATTGTTCTTACCTTATATCATAACTTGGCAAAGGTTTTTTTTATGGCTATCGAATTAGCTATTTGACCCGAGTATATGCTTTCCTTTTCTTAAAAAGTGTATGAAAACTGAAGTGTGTTAATTCTCCATCGACTACTGTTTGTCATGCAATCTTACTTATTGTATAATTTGACAAAATACATAACAATGTTTCTCAGGGACAAAAGTAAAACAACTGACTAGGGACATTCATGTGGTTAATAAACAACAAAAACAAATGCATGTTAAGGTCAAGGGTCAATAGGCTGTCACAGATTTTTGTATGATTTAGCATACAGATTGTCAGACAATCAACATTCCTATAAGAACCAACTGTTCTCCTTTTCTTGTCGGCTTGTTTCTTTCATTTATATGAGGCAAACTTTATACATGTGCTTCTCAGAAAGAATGAAAAGAACCTAGCATTATCCTTTAACTTCACGTTTTTCTATATAGACGTTTTCCTCTGATTAAATGTAAACTTCATGTTCGACGAATTATTTTGAAATAGCTGGGACGGAAATGATTGGAACTTTTGTAGATAAAGACACCGGCGATATTATCACATCGAACTTGAAATAAAAGATACCATGGAAACAGTTAAGTTTGCATCGTATCTATGACTTACATTCAGAAAGTGAAAATAACAAGCGCCTTGCTGGGTTATTTTCAAGGGGAACGCTCAAACTTAAAAAAATAAATATTTAAAACTATGATGTATAAATACGTAGAAACTTTAACAACCATATGACCAAAAGAATATTAAAAATATTAGTAAAATTAATCGAAGTTCATCTTTGCCTAAAAATTGACAATTAGGGTCAGAACAAAATTTTACGGCAATAGAGTTGATTGCAGCTGTCTATTTCCATGTAGCAACATTCAAGATGGAATATATATCTCTCAGTTCATATGATATTCCATTCCAGAGATGGCGTTTCCTACCATAATTTCCTATATAGAGGGTTGCTGCTTACAAGGAAGCTATTAAACGAACGATTCCTTTTCGAAAGTATTACGGACGCAATCGTAAATTTGTTGATACTTGTGGAATATCAGGATATGTTCTTATTGTCCTAGTCACGATCCTGTCGTCTTTTCATCGAGTGTGATTTTACCAAATAAGCCTTATTACCGAATTTGTACTAACCATGCTGCCACACGCGGAACAGGATCTGCTTACCCTTCCGGAGCACTTAAGACCATCGCCGGTTTTTAAGGGGGTCGTGTTGCTCAGACTTTTGTTTAATATGTAGTGTTGTGAAGATTGTTATTCTATTTGTCGAATTTTGTTTCTATCCCATGCTATTGTCAATTTCACATTGTTTAGGTCATCGTCATCAAAAATCTTATTTTGTGAAGAATCACACTGATTCCAACAACTAAACCCCAAAGATGACGTCATAAAAATGCTACCCTTTTTTTTTATCGACAACACTTTTGTTGAGTTTATAGAATTAATATTTCAACAGACAGCCGGTATTCCAATGGATACTTTTTATTCATCCCTTCCACCGACTTGTTTGGTTTTTTATCTTTTGGTACTCATATCAGGCAGAATTCATACAGAACCTTCTCAGAGACAAAAGGATAAAGCATCAAAGCATCTTGCAAAGGTTCTTCAATGTCACCTTCAGATATATTGATTGATGGTGTCCTGTTACTCAATATCCCATATTTATTTAATAGAGAGCGTGCATCTAATACATTCCAGTGAACCTAAGGTGACGTATACTACCGTGATGGACGACTTCAAACTAGAATCTATAACAAACGTGATAGTTTCACCTTTTAAATTGTCAACATCCTATTTCTCAGCAGCAAATTAAATAGCAAAATGAATCACTTTTGAAGAAAAATCTTTAGATAAGTTTTGAATGGGTAGGGACTTTAGAAAAGCTTTTACTTGATTGTACATGCATTAAACCGAATAATCGTGTTTTTAAATATCAATTCAATAATAATTCAGAAGATAAATGACATAATCGATTTTTTTTAATTCGTAGTCCTTGAACTTTAACAAGCCACAGTTTTATGCAAAATCTCGCACAAATTTGTGACATGAA